TGTCGGCTGTCGTATATCTTCTAATTTCTTTTTCTTTCCTTTGAATTGGTTCTAACGCCGTAAATTTGGCCTCAATAAATGACATAAATTCAACCAATGTCGGTAACTCCCGAGGTTCTTTACGATGTTCCTTGTAATCACTATAAGTTTCGATGTCCAACTTCTTTGATAAAATATGAACTAACAGTGGGTCCCAAGTATTTGTGTCAACCCCTAAATTATGTATGGCATGAATACATTCTGTAGTTGTGTCATACAGTCTTTTCAATTCAAAGGATGTTTGTTTAGATATATTATGCTGGTTAAGTAAAATTTCTATTTGATTTGTGAATAATAGCTGCGGGTTATTATATCGATGATTTAAAATATCCCAGGCTGCCTCGTAATTTTCTGCTGATATGTGAAGGTGTTGTATTAAGCGCTCCGCTTCGCCTTTTACCCTGCCCTTTAAATGTTGCATTTTTTGAGTGCTCGTGAGATATTTGTTGTTATGGATGGCTTCTGTGTACAAATCATAAAATGTTGGCCACTGTGTATACTTTCCTGTGAATATAGGGATTTCAATTTGTGGTACAGATTGATGTAAATGTGCTGTAGAGCATAGATTTCTATTGAGTTTTCTCTTGATGCTAGTGTACTTATTTTCTATATCGGCGAATGCATCGTCATAGGTATTATTGCGGCCTAATAACACACTGTCTATACGTAGATGAAGATCATCAATTATACGCCAACGATGCTGTAAATTCCTAAGCTCGTCTTCAATCTCCCATTTTTCATCGATATGCTGTTCGTTGATACGTTTTATTTGTCTTTCTAAAGCTCTAAAATTCGCTTGTTGATTCGACAATAACTCCTTGACTGGCTCTGTCGAAGTAGCAGTAGTGTTGCTAATGATAGGAATTTCAAACTTACTAGACGTACCTTCCTCTCTTCTAAATATCGGTGTCGACGGCCTTGAAGAGAGTTGAAATGCTGCTTCCATTGTTGCTCGTGCTGACTGATAAAAATGTTCAGCTTGCTGATAAATGTTCTTGATAAAATATTCCGAAGATTTGTCATCACTTTCTTTTAATATCTCATCATTCTGATGAAATTCATTCCATAAGGTGCTCATAGATTCTAATCTTCTCTGAAAGTAGTCCGGTGTCTTCCTATCTTGGGGATCTTTTTTGAAGTTAGTATATATCCTCTCAATTTCCTTTACAATCACGCTTTGACGCTCGATTAACTCCATTATGATATATGCGCCTTCGATATATAGCTTTGACGATATATGCGCCTTCTCAATTCAAACCAGTGAGACCCGCTTGTGGGAGGCTGGATGAACCGATTCGCTACCGCAGAACTAATATACGTAGACAGAAATGATGTCCACTGGTTGATATTCTCTCGAACAGGAACGATCGCTTAGTAACAGAATTAAAGTCACACTCGCGATAGGTCCCGCTTTGCGAAAGCTCGAAGGACCATAAATGTAGGGGTAAACTACATTAAAATGATAATTGATAATGTTTTGATAAATAACTGATAATACGATGATATAGATGATAGACGAAAGGGTTAAAAATGATAACAACCGATTCAGCCGAATGCGTAATGAGCACTGATTTTATTGTATTATTAACAAAATTACAATAGCTGACGCAATTAATATAAAATGAGTACGATGACTCGTACAGCTGTGTTAGTGCTTTCATTTTTTTTTAAATACTTCCTCATTGAATTTAAACTCGATCTTAATCTGAGTTATCAGATCCATTCATAGAGATAAGGTAGAGTGGAAATATTTTCTATGGTTATATAAATATCATGCAATTTGAAGTTGACATCGAAAACATCGTGTTGTCTTTTTTTAACAAATAAGAAGTTTCTTTAGTAAACAAAGATTGCACACTTTGTTTACTAAAGAAACTTCTAATAGAACTTCATAGAAGAAGAGGACCGGCTATACCTACAAAAAAAGCGTATATGCCTAAACTTGAAATGCAAATTCTTCGATGGCGGACTGTCATAGGGCGCGACCCATGATATCGATATTTGTATCGACATTGAGGTAATATTAAATAAAAGTTAGTATTTCGTGAAACTGCTACAAAACAACTACTTATTAAATAAAGTAATATAATTTCCATTATTAGGGGCATGGCTAAACTATAACCTATTATACTTCTATTCGTTTCACACTTACGTACCAATCCTATTTATGATTATTATTAATTAAATAGATAAATTCACGCCAGTTTTAAGAAAATAATATTTTGTTAAAAGTGGCGTGAATTTATCAATTATTTATAAATCTTTATGCAATCTTTTGCTCGTGTTTTGTTGGACATCTAAAAGCCTCATTGTTCTTGCGACTCCGTTGCGTCAGTATAGTAATTATAACCTATGTTACCAATTCCAAATTTCATCGAAATCCGTTCAGTAGTTTTTGCATGAGAATAACCAACATCCATCCTCACAAAATTTCACATTTATACTATATAAATATTATTTTATAATATGATTGTAACTCGAAAAATATGTCTTTTTCCTCTAATATAGACAATTTTACGTAGTTTTAAGAACTATAGTACCAAAATATATATCTTAAAAGTTTAACAATAATATCAATCGTGTTTTATAATTATTTCCATATATAATGTAAAGTTGATATATTGCAACTATAATTAAATAGTTTTTTTTAACATAAGTTTAATTTTGCATCCACGGGAAGTGTGACCACTGTCCAAGATAACTGCCACGGTAACTATAATAAGCTTTAAATGAGTCGATTTTTTTGTCTGTTATATATTTTTTATTGTTATAGTGGAAAGTGACATTTTGGTGCAATAAAGTCATTTTTTATTTTTCAGTACGAAATTAAACAGGGTGCAAAAGTAGCACTTGCAGTTTCTTACCGGTTCCCCTTCTTCTTTTCTCGGTACAAGGTTTCCCATAATAGATTTAAGAACCATAAGCACAGAGTTTCGACTTTCTTATATGCTTGTAACTAGTAAGCCAACTTGTCTATAAATTTATTCAATTAATTGTATTGACTGAATAAATTTCGCTTACTCCTCATTAAGTGAGATACCGTGCGTACTGTGTCACAATTTTAGTTCAGAGCATCGTATTTAGTAGTAAACATAGAAAACTTGAAACACCTACATAATCTTTGTATTATATTATTTGTAAAAGAAACTTTGATGAATAAACAAGAGAAAATAAAGAAAACAAAGTTGGTAGATGAAAAAGTGAAATAATTTATTAAAAAAGTAACAATTGGCATTTTATTTAAAAAATTGGTTAACAAAAAGAAAACAGTCGATAAATCAATGGGCAAGCATACAAATATTTTCTCAGCACTAAAACTGTCTGCAATTCATGTTCTGTGAACAATCATGATAACGGTCAGCAATTTAAATACAAAAAGGTAGCGTATTTTATGATGCATCAGCAAAATAAACAGCCACGCCGCAAAATAATTATTTGGGTATTAAGATTATACTATTGAACAGCAAAGAAAACCTTTAAATTTTTATTAAAATTATTTAACTCATTTTATTGTTTTTTTACTGGGAGTATATTATGATCAAAATTTTATATTTCAATATTATTATATATTGCATTCTGATTTTTTTCAATTAAAATAGTTGTCATATGACCGCAAGACTAAAAATAAGGTACATTTATAGAATAACAAAATGACTATACAAAAAACTTAATAAATAAATCAGTAAAATCAAATGAAAAGTAACTAAGTGTAATAGACAAAAAAATTGTAAAATTAAGTTAAAAGCAACTGACAAAAACTCTTACCAGCGTATTTGATTGGCAATGCATCATCTCGTAATTTTATTATATTTAAAGTTCGATCCAAACAACTTTCCCTAAAATGAAGTGAGCAGATAAAAGTAACTTTTTCATTATTAATATTTTCTGCTCCAATGGAACTCGGCCATTTTCCTCTTTTTGTTTCATCTTTTGGTAATCTAAAATAATGAATATATTTTTAAATAATAAAATTATCGATATAAACCAAATGTTAAAGTACAACGCTAGCCATGTAAACAACATTATTTACGGACCGAAATATTATAAAAATATAAACGAAAAGAGCAATATAACATAAATAGAACACACCAAAATACGATATGTATCGATTTATACACGCAATCATTTTCAGAATTATTACTTACTTACGTTTTAAATACTGTTTTTCTAAGAAAGTGTTTAACTTACCGGTGAAACATAATATTGCTCGGTTTGCGGGATATCGATGACGCACAACCAATTGCACTGCACCTAGGCATTGTTTTGCATAAATAATTTACAATTTTCTGCCATGAAAGTTATATAATTAAAGTTATAAATGAAAATAACCACAAAACTTATAACACTGACAGCTGAACTACTTCCGAGAATACGCACTGCAACTTTGCAAATGGCGGACAGGTGGTACGATAGCTATATGTCATGACGTCACGTAAAAATTTTTGAACTGTCACACTAGTGCGATCTTTATTTACTAAAGAAACTTCTTATTAGTTAAAAAAAGACAACATGATGTTTTCGATGTCAACTTCAGATTGCATGATATTTATATAACCATAGAAAATATTTCCACTCTACCTTATCTCTATGATGAATTGACATTTAGTTTCTACAATTTGTGCTGCCATCTAGTGATATAAACTTTTGTATTTCCTTTACTTTTTCTAAATACTTCCTCATTCTTCAGAATTATCTATCTATATACATAGACGCGAAGAAAATTTAAACAGAACCACAAACTACATAGGGCTAATTACATTTTAAAGAAGTCTTCGGTTTTGAAATAGTTTTTATTTTCTTAGTTAATATATGGCACTTTTTTTGGTCTAATTAAATCTTGTAATAATAAAAGAACTATAAACTCTGCGTCTATTTTGTTTATATGACAATATGACGTTACAAAAGTATGGTAGTGCTTTTCGCGCGAAACATACGAGAAATAAAAAATAAAAAACAATCACATATAATTTGAACAAATTTAATTATCCAACAAATTAATGACAATATCTTATTTTACTTTTAACGTTCACCATTCACTGAATCTTTTCGTAATCTTTTCTTTTGTAGCTCAGAATGTCCATTCATCTGATCCAACTTTCGCCTTTTTTTATTTGATCTTGTTTTATTACTTTCATTTCCTCCTTCATTTTTCATGTTATTCTGTTTACCTTTTGTTGTACATTTATAGGACCCTATAATGTCTAATAACGATTGAAAATCGAGATTGGTTTTTATATGACAACTTTCGTGAAACGATTTCATTGTATTGATAAGTTTTTTTAAGAGTACAATAAAATTATGTTTTACTTCAAAATTAGTTTCCTTGTGAAAATTATTTTTTATTGTTTTTTCAAAGGTCTCTTCTAAGTTTGATAATTTAGAGAGTATTGCTATGTTTGTAGGTTTGTTCCTATTTAATGCACGATAGAAACCTACCATCAAATCCAAGCCCTCATTACGTCGGAATTGTCTTACTTGATTGTTGAAAACATGCTCTATAATTATAGGCATAAGAATAAAATTACCTTCCCATTCCATCTGCAATATGCTATGGAAAAATATGATGGGTAGCAAACAGTTACGGTTAACAAAATAATTGTGCAGGGAGTCTTTTAAAGCCTCTGCAATTGGTATCACATGTTTTTTCTTGGATTTAGTAGTGTTATTATCAATTTTAATTGAACAATGGACTATAAATGTGGCGAAAAAAGTAATAACATCACCAACCGCTTGAAATAAAAATTGGGATCTTGCACCCTTGTCAATAGTAGATTTTAAATAATCACATAAAATTTCGAGTGTGATGCCCTCTGTAGATGAAAATTTTCTTACTTTTGTAAGTACTTTGATTGTTTTTCTGACTCTATTTTCTAATTCTTTAAATTGGTTATCTTGAATGCAAAACTCTAAACACCTCATCAATGGAGCAATCATAGAAAGGCAAATATCCATTGAAGGGTCTTTTTCTAAATATATTATTAAAAGATCAAGAACCCTTATGCGAAAATCTGATAAGTTCTTTTTGTCTTTTCTGTCTTTTTTATTATTTTTTCCCTTACTTTGCCCAAATTGCTTAAAAGCCTCGGCTAAAGCTTCATCTAATTTATCAGCTTCTTCATCATCTATCAAATCAGCATCTACACTCTCAGCATCACTTTCAGTAGCTGCAGAGCCCAATGCTTTTTGGACAGCCATTCTAAGTTGCTCAGGGGTCTTCATTTCATCATCATCTTCATCCTCACTCTCACTGCTGTCATCCAATATCTTCTTTTTTGTATCTTCATTTTGTTCATTGTCACTTTCAGATTCACTATCATTTTCTGAATCGCTTTCATTCGCTAATGGGTTTGATTCATTCTCTGGATCCAGTACTGAAACTATTTGACCAACAGCAGTGGGCGTGAGAAATTCCCATAGTAGTCTAAATACACATTGTACAACAGATCTTAAAACACTTGATTCAATAGATAATATTGATAAAAGAACTTCAATCAACACTTCTATCCATTCTGGTTCATCTGATAATTCAGGATCCTTAACTTTGTTTTTCTTTTTATTTTCTTTCCTGTAATGGTCATAGCAGCTTTTTAGTTCTTTGATAGAACTCCTGGCTACCTTAACATGAATAGGTTCTGAGAATAAAAAAAGGCCAAGTTGATATAGTAAAACAAGGAATACTTTATCAACTTTTGACTTAGATTCTTTATTCTCTATATTCTCAGTTACTCCACTTAACAATTCCCAGCACTCCATACTTTCTTTAGGAAACTGTTTTTCTATTTTCATTCGTATCTGTTCCTTGTCTAGGCTTGAGGTAATGAAATTGCAAAGTGACGATAAAACGAATACTAAACTATCAACATTTGTGAATTTTGATGTGAAGCAGCGGTAAAAACAAGCCTTTATGGCACCTGCAAAATAATAAATATTATAGATATATATGTTGTATTATATATTAAATAAATCATAACTTTTTTTCAAACATTTCTTACCAGCCAAATCTTTACTGATAGCTACACTTTCATCACTACCAATTTTAAAAAATCCAAAGCACATTAGTAACTTCATATAATTTAGTTTAAAATCAGTGTCATCTTTTACAGCTTCATGGATTACCAAAAACGAAATAAGTTCAGCTGCTTTTAATCTCTCATTATTATACCAATTCCGCTCAACATCTTCCTTCACATATTTTTTCGTAGTATTTAAAAGAATACCTTTGAACTTTTTAGCCATTTTTTTAACACCATCTTTATCCAAATCAGCAATTATTGATTTAATAAGAGATGTGCCTGTTATTTCTGTAAAGTTAATCTCTCCAGGATTTAATAAAAGTTTATTTAAGACCTCCACTCTTATTTTATTGTCAACATTATCAAACTTCATTGCTTTAGCAAGGATCATTAGTATTTCTTTTTCTTTTTTTATCATAATTTTATGATCATCTTCATCATCCCTTTTATTTCTTATTTTACTTACTGTTTGCAATCCCTTAAACCAGTCCATAAACAGTTTGAAAAAATTTGTACTAATCAATTCTGGCAAAACATTAATATTATCACGTAAATTACTCAAAATGGCTTTGAATATGTTGAGTGTAACCAATTCTCTATTTCTATTATGTTTGGAAAGTTGACTGTCAATACCAGATATCCAAAACTGCTGTAAATGTGGAGAATTTGCCATTTGTTCACCAATTACTTCATATATGGGATGGTTTACTGAATTGTAATCAATGCCAGCCTTAAAAGAAAAAATATATAAGAATACAATTGATTCAAAATTTTAAATATATGACTAAAAACTCTATTTACCATCAGCTTTTCAGATATATCCTGCAAAGTGTCATCACAAATAACTTCCGAAACTCCAATTAATTTTCTCAATTTCACCTTATTAGGAAACTTTTTACAAATTATCAGAAGAAAAAATAGGCTGTCAAGATTGTGATCTTTTATATCCTTTTTAAATTCTTGTTTTAGATTTGACCAAACAATTGAAGTGAATTCATCTTCATTAAGCTGCAAGATATAAATATAATTCACAAGGTATATTAAGATTTTCATAATACACTCATAGACACAACAAACCGTCCACCTATATCATTCATCACCCTGTTTGGTTCTGTCAACTATGGCTTATCAACTGTTTTGTTTTTTGTTAAGTGGGTACTCTAACAATAAAACACTTATACATTTAGTCAGTCATATTATTGCTATAGTGTTACCGAGTTAACATTTCCTATAATTTTCTGGGCGAATATGGTATAATTTTAAATTATAATGTTTGCTCATTGTTTGTGATTGCAAAACATGCCACTTGATGCAACTGATGTAGCTATGGGGCCGTCCATTAATCACGTGATGTTTTTTCAACATTTTTGACCCCCCTCCCCTTTGGTGATACATGGTGAGGTTTGCAACTACCCCTACTTCAAGCAAATCAAGTGTATTAAAAAAAAAACAAAAAAAACTTAATTTTTGACGACGCTTTTCGGTTTAATAATCGCTCCCCCCCCCCTTCGAGCCTCATGTAATTAACGGACGGCCTCTAGCTTTAGCTGATGCGGGGTATAGATGATTTCGGGAGACAGGCTTATACATCTGCAGGCCAGGTCAAGCTTCTGAAGTACGTACGCGTCTATTTGAGGTGAGAAATGTCAATGTCAGTGAATGTACTATTCTAGCGCACGCTCCGCAACTGCTCCCACATCACCGTAGAGCTACTTGGTTTTGCGCGAGAATATGCTGTTGGACTGTAGAGGAATGAATGAAATAGAATGTACTGTTCCCACATGAGAGCAGAATAGCCTTAAGAGGTGTAGATGGACGTCAGCGTGTATATAGGCGTCAAAATGAGAGGTTTGCTCCATGCACTTTAACTGAAACAGTAGGTTACCAGGGAGGGTCCATAATGGTATGGGGAGGTATCTCTTATGAGGCTTGTATCGATTTTGTTGTGTTCAATAGAGGAAGTGTTAACACTCATAGATATGAGGAAGAAGTTCTTTAAGATATGAAGTAATGCATGACAACCTATGTTGCCATACCGTAAGATCCATCAGCGCATTTTAGCATGGCCCGCATGCAGTCCTGATGTTAACCCCATAGAGCATATTCAGCCAACCTTTAAAGACATCTTTGAGCAAGAGTACCAGTCCTTACGACTATAGGAGAGCTTAGAACAGCTACAGTAGAGGAGTGGCACAATATTACCCAATTGGATATTCAGGATATCAGGACAAACCAGCTCCAAGAAGTCATAAGGGCCAGAGGTGGTTACACCCACTATTCATTTTTATATTTTCATTTAATTGCCCTTTTATTTTCAAAACCAAAATTTTCATTGAAGGATTTACAATAAACATAGATTGTCAGCATCCCTTAATAAAAGACTTTTTTACAATATTTTTGTTGTTTCTTTTTCCTTAAATATAGTTTTTAACATTCCTTTCATGAAATATGGTCTAAATTTGGTGATTTCTTCGAATTTAGAGAAATAGTTGCACGGTTAATTGTGCCTTTGAGTGTAGTTTCATAATGAGTAGCTAAACAAAGTAATAACCAGTCTTTTAAAAAAATATCTACTTACAAGATTAACAAAATCCATCAGTATAAGAAAAGCAACAGTGCTTAGGTAAGATTTCTTTTTACTTGCAGATAACAAGAGATTTAGGACTTCCTTTTGTTCATCTTCTGTGCTTTTTATCATAAGGCCAGACCGAAATATGGCACTACACACAAGGATTTGTCCTAGAGCAACATCACCTACTTCCTGTAATGGAAAGATGAAGACATATTTGTATCTCTTATGCAAGTTTAAGTTAAGTGTAAAATTAATGCCACAATAAAATATAAGAAAATCTTGTTTTTCCAATTGATTATTAATATTTAATAATAGTATTCTGTCTATTCAAAGTTCTTACTTAATTCAAGTTCTTATTTATTTGGTAACAATATCCTGCTTAAATTATGACATCTTTTGTAACAAGTGTAAGATTATATATTATGAAATAGATAAATCGATTTTGCTATGTAAAATTATACTCACACTTTTAGATGAATTGTTAGCATGTAGTTCTTTTCTGACCAAATCTAATAGTTGTGCAATTGTTATGGATTTAATTTTTGTTATAACAGTTACTAGAGTTGCAAAGTATCCAGTCCTCATGTCAGGAATGTTAGCACCTAAACTCCTCACTAGGCGCTTTAAAGCATACTTCTCATCTTTGTTGTCCTAAAATATGATAAGATAGTGATTTTGTGTTAATTAATTATGGATTAATATCGTACTGAAATATTATAGGTTATTTAGAAATGGCACTTCACAATAGTCATAGAATATAATAGTTACATACTAATCATGGGTAACACCATGTTAACTAACCTCATCACGAAGTAATTGTATTATAATTCTAGCACCACCAGTGATTTTATCGTCATCTTTAGCAGCTTTCAATAAGTCAAAAGCCTCTAATATCGAAGATGTAATACTGCGATCTGCCTTTTTTGAGTCTGTATCACCGTTATCTAGCAATTTAATTTCCATGTTTCTTCAAATTATATAACGAAATTAATTTATAACTCCATGCCCATGCATTCAAGGTATACCGTACCGCCAGAACACAGCAAAAATAGCACGCTTTGCTTCGCACATTTCTAGCAACACGTTTATCTGACATATGTCAGTAGCATGTCAGTAGTAGTAGTTTGTTTCATCCATGAGAAAGACGAAGGAACTTAGGCATACTGCCAAATCTTGAGTTATATAATGTCAAGTCAATGTTAAAATACTCAAAGTATTAGGATTAAAGTATGAAATTGCCGTTTTATTGTAAGAGGTTCCTTCAATTGACATAGAATATTCATGGTTTGAGGTTTTCGAAAGAAACCTTTTTACGTGGTTTCTATAATGTTCTTAAAAATTCAAAATTTAACTCATATTCTATTTGTACTTTTTCTTATTTGGATTGATATCTAAGTTTCGAACTTTTCAAATTTCAGTTTTTTAATATGTTAGTTTAAAGGAACTGAAATGACTGACTTTGGTTCATTCGTTTCCTGCAAAAATCAACTTTTGCTAGAGGCTCCATCTAGTTGACGTGCTTTTTCAGTACTTTCGTTTTTTTAAATACTTCCTCATTGTTTTCGTTATTCAACTTAGACAAGAAAGATGGATACTTACAATATGGATACTGTAAAAATTCGAATGATTTTTGAATATGAGTACCGACGCTAAAGTAACGCTGCAGAAACACCCTGCAATATCAATGTAGCGTTTGGAGAGGGGGCTGCTAATGAACGTACCGTGCAATTTTGATTTAAACACTTTCGTGGTCGAAACTTCGACTTGAAGAACGAGCTACGAGGAAGAACGCCCACACAGGTGAATAACGATGAATTAAGAGAGATTGTGGAAGCCGATCCTAGTCAAACTACCCAGGAATTAGCGGCATGATTTAATGTTATCTTACCCACAATATTGATTCATTTGCGTCAAATCAATAAAATAAAAAATATACGAAAAATGGGTAACTATTTGGTGGTCACAGCATGATATTATTCACTATAGTTTTCTCCGATCTGGTCAAACAAAAACGACAGATGTCTATTGTAACGAACTCCGAACAATATTGGCAAAACTAGCAGTAAAATAGCTCCGACTCATGAATCGATCTTCACCATTATTGCTCTATGAAAATGTGAGACCTCATACAGTACGAGAAACCGTTTTGACCCTTTAGAAACTGCAGTTAGAAACTATTCGTCATCCTTCGTATTCGCCAGATGTGACAAGAAGTTTTCTTCCAAGGAGGCAGTACAAAATGCTTAAAATGCTATGTAAATGCTTCTATCGCAAAGGCATAAATGATCTTCCTATTAGAAGGCAGTAATGTATAGATAGTAATGGTTATTTTTTTTTTTTTACTTTTTTAAATAAACAATTTTGATTTTCTGTACAAATCGGCAATTTTATACTTTAACCTACAGCCTAGTCTTCAGTATTTTAAATGTTTTCACTTAAAATACTGTTACACGTTGGTATTCTAAACTTTTTAAAACCTTTTTTAAGAATTAAATTTTTCCTCTTCTACTGACCTCTGAAATTCGTTACGCTATTTTAGTTTACAATCATAAAAATTACATTTATTATTTTAATGAAATTGCAACTGTTGGATTTGTACCCTATCGTCCGCATTACATCGGCTTTCTCCCGTTATTAGTATGATTGTGAGCCACTAGGGCTGGTTGTGTCAGTTTCTAGATTATTTTTACGACCCACGATTTAGTGAAGAGTATATACTATTGAGTTAAAAAGAGCAGTATCTACTAATTATGAGGTGGGGTAAGGTATACCTTCAAAATTCTTACACCATATGAACAAAGCTTACATAAAATAATATGTAGTCGGTAAACGTTGTTATTGTTAAAAAAATATTGCACTTACTACTTATTACACAAACTTCCAATAAAATTGTCATTAGTTTAAAGCGACATTACCCATATAAATTTGATATTCATTAGAGTTTAAATGCGTCATTAAACCTTAATGAACGTTTGGGCAACTGACCGTTACAGTTTCAAAACAATATGAACAATATCTGTTAAATAATCTCTTAACAATCCGGTTAATTGTGATTATTCATTATATCGTCGTATGAAATCTTATTCATTAGTTCTGACTCTATGCACAAAAGACATAAGGCGTTAAACTTTTCTTGGCTTAAAATATATAGTTTTTTACCCGCTTCAAAAAAGAATAGCTTCTCCCACCTGAACAATTTGTCAGTGATGTCTGGTTTTATCAAAAAACTTTGAGAAGAAAGATGGCATTGAAAGTGTATGCATACCTAGACAAAATCAGTGTGTAAATCATTAGGATAAATTCTTTTCAAATAAATGGCTTTTCCGTCAGGGTCAATGGTAATTAACTAACAACTCAGTCATTTTGATGAAAAATGAAAATGAAAACTCGTTAAATCGATAGTAGATCTTATGCCGTTTTTGTAATGAGAAAGTATTTAAAAAATAAAAATCAGTTCTTAAAATCATACTAGATGTCACTCGCGATGTTTGGATTTTGTTTATGAAATTCATTAAAATTTTGTTTCTGACGTAATGAAAGTAAATTGAGTATCGAAAATTAATAAATATGACATCGTTTTGTTTTTCTTATATTATCTAACTTTCAAATTAATTTTAATTTATTTTAATTTTAAGTTTAAATATGTTACATGTAAATGAATGATGTTTGGTGGATACCATAGAATTAATAAGTACAACGTACGTAGTATTTATTAATTCTATGGTTGCTACATATTTAGTGATCTGTGGTTGATACGTTAACATTAGTGATGAGCCAACTTATTGGTTGCTCGTAACTTTCATCCGAATTCAGGTTTGGAATGAAGAACGAATAGCGGAACGCAGATTCGGCTTGTATTTGTATGTGTCATTCATTATGCATCCACAAAACGAATGATATTAATATAAATATCAAAATCAATTCAGTCTAGGCTGTTACATAGTACTTGTGAAAGACGAAAACTTTTCCAATGGTTCGCAAATTAAGGCGGGAGATCTTGTACTGACAAGAATCGGCAAGAAACTCAGCAAGGGCTGCTTTTTTAATTTCAATTATACAACTCAACTATACTATATTCGAGGGAACGTAACGATCTCACGCACACGACACCACCGCATAGATCTTAAGAGAGCATGACTACTCTAAGTACTTAGTAAATAATATTTTTCAATAAAACTGATTTCTAGAGTAGGTTGTGTAGGAAGTCAATCTATTATTAACAATATTATAGTAAGAACCAAAAAGCACATATCCACTGTACGAATTAACTTAACGCATGGCTCGATGTCCACCGTCGACATGTAAAATCAGTAACAATATAACTGAAACTATAATAACTGTACGTGTCTTTGTGATTTTGAAATTTAAAGTTATAACCTTGCTATTCGTTTAGAACAAACGTTTCTTGTTGAATGCTGAATGTTTATTAAGATGATTTAATTATGAATATAAGATTTAATAATTGATCATAGTTTTTTAAAGTATTAATTTCGAAAGCACATGCCATTTTAGCCAGAAGTGATGTTATTTTGTACGAATATCTAGTATATTTGATACATATCGGTTAATTATATGTAAATATATATAACTCAAAGGTGACTGACCGACATAGTGATCTATCAACGCACAGCCCAAACCACTGGACGGATCTGGCTGAAATTTGGCATGCAAATAGATGTTATGACGTAGGCATCCTCTAAGAAAGAATTTTGATCAATTCTATCCCCAAGCGGATAAAATAGGGGATGAAAGTTGATAAGAAACTTTGTCAATTTTAAATACATAACAAACTAACATCGTTTTTTAATAAATATAATGTGCTAATAACTAATCAACATGGTTTTCAAAAAAATAAGTGTAGTCGACACTTGCCGCCTTTGATTTAATTAACGAAATATTATAAAGTATTAACAAAAGCAAATATACAACAGCTCTTTTCTTTGATATGTCAAAGGCATTCGATTTCGTTTCTCATGAACAACTACTAAAAAAATATATAACAATGGTATCAGAGGTACAGCTTTAAATTGGATTAAAACATATTTACAAAATAGAATGCAATCTGTTGAAATAACTAAATTAGGTTAGGTTCAAACTAAATTAGTATATTAACGACCTACCAAATGTAAACTACACATAAAAGTATTTTATTTGCTGATGATATATCAGCGGTAGTGACGACTAATAATAATATGAAAATTTCTGATCACTCAAACGACATAAATAATACAGTAATGACCATAATAAACTGGCTTAAATTCCATAAATTGACAATAAATATAGACAAGACATGTTTTATTAATTTTAATAATTTAATTTCTAATAACTTGATTATTAAATTCCAAAAATGCACGCTTGAAGAAACTGATAACGTTAGATTCTTAGGCATAACTATTGACAAGAAATGTTGACGACAGCCACGTGCCGAAAAATGTACAGATCGAACGACCAATCACAGCGCCTACATTAGCTGAATTATCAGGGAGCCCATTGGCTGCGTAGGCGCCGTCCGCACGGTGGGGGCGATTCCCCCACCCGGCGCGCGGGCGTAAAACGCGCTGTGATTGGTCGGCCGCCGCGCGTCACTAGTATCTAAGTTAGATAGTAAGTTTAGAATAAGGGTAGGGCCAAATTTGTACATATTCGTAGTCAAGTCAAGTCAGTCAAGCAGTATAGTCAAGCAGTAATAAGTAGCCAGTAAGAAGAAAAATAAAACGTCTATAGAAGAAATTCGTCTTTGTTTTTTACCATCATCAACGGTTAAACAGCATCGCCTACAGTTTGGTCCTTCGAGCCGGATCAGCACCCTCAATAAGAAACTAGATTGGAAACAACATGCAGAAATCGTTTGTAATAAGATAAATAGCTTCTCATTTGCATTATTTAAATTATTGAGAGTAGCGACAAGAAGTAAGGCTCTCACAGCATACTTCGCTTATGTGGAGTCAGTTTTACGTTATGCAATTATTATTTGGGGCAATAGTACAGATGCGCAAAGGGTATTTATTGCCCAAAAAAAAATGCATAAGATCCATATGTGGTATCGCTCCCGGCGTCTCATGTAAGCAACGGTTTAAATTTCTTGGTATTCTACCTCTTCCTTGCTTATATATATTTGAAGCAGCGAAATTTGCCAAACGATACCCTGATTATTACAAAATAACTCATGAAGTGTATCCCAGGAACACTAGAAATAAAAATAGGCTAGTTCTTGACATAGTCCCAAAAAGCGCGCGATTTAAAAATAACTGCTACTGTATGTGTCAAACAATATTTAATAAGATTCCGGAATCTATAAAGAATAAACCTTTTACTAGATTTAAGAGAGAGTTATATAACTAGTTTGCTGAGCGTTCCTTTTATTCGTTGCATGAGTTCTTAGACTATAGAAACTATATAACTTATAGTATCTTTTTTTACTACATTTGCATGCTATTGTTAATGGCTGAATAGGCGATAATTGTATTTCTATTTACATCTCTTTTGTATACCCTATTCAAACGCAATTAAATTATTATTATTATTATGAGACTTTGCATGCATTAAGCTACTATGACGTAGGCATTCCCTAAGAAAGGAATAAAAAATAAAAAATTCCACCCCTAAGGGGATAAAATAGGGGATGAAACTTTATTTCAGGTATTTTACACAAGTAACTTTACCACGCGGACGAAGTCGCGGGCAAAAGCTAGTAGATAATAAACGGATTTTTTATTATAATTATCGTTTTATGACTTTTGTTGCTGATTAATAAACCCGATTCATTCATTCACCATACGTATTTAGGAACCTTAAGGTTGGAATGTGTGGTCATTACTGTGGTGGGAGACAACTGGCCAGGGAGACTAAAGGATAATTGTCTCCCTCCGAGCTAGGTGTAGTTAGCCCGGGGCCCGCGGTCCGATCGATGGAGGTTGGACGTTCTATTTATGATAATTGGTAATGAAACTTATTCTGTGCGATGTAGGTTTCTTTGTTCTAAACGTCTTGTAGTTATTAATTATGTTTGTATTGGTACAGCGCCATCTCGTTACTTGCAGTTGAAACTTTTTGCAGTTCGTCTTACTATCGATGGCTGTGACGATGCTAGTCTTCTCGCTATCGATTGTTGTGGCGATGAGTTAGATGTCGTTATGTATCAGTCGCAACAGTACTTTCCCCCTAGACCGAAGGTCGATCCATGTTGATAGTAGGTGGTATGCAGTCAGTGCTTCAGAGCTTGCAAGTGCCAGGTTGTGACGTCGGGACCGTAGCTACTGGTGTGCAGGGCTGCCACGCTGGTGAGTTGTGTGTGAACTGAAGTCCAGTCGTGGGCTGCGAGGACCCAGGTCGGGATTATGCCGTCGAGTGGTGCCAAGAATCTAGGAAGCGTCGTCGACGCTGCTGTGATGGACCTTGGTGTTGGATGGCTTGCTGCTGAAGTGGCTGTGCTGATGAGGGATGAGAGGCTGATGATGAAGGGTGATGGCTGCGTTGTGATGCTGAAGGTTGCTGATGTTTTGCTGGGGTCACCACTTAAGGAACCTTAAGGTTGAATGTGTGGTCCCTACTGTGGTGATGGAGACAACTGATCAGGGAGACTAAAGGATAATTGTCTCCCTCCGAGCTAGGTGTAGTTAGCCCGGGGACTGCGGTCCGATCGATGTAGGTTGGACGTTCTATTTATTTTAATTGGTAATGAAACTTCTTTTTGTGCGATGAAGGTTTCTTTGTTCTAAATGTTTTGTAGTTATAATGTCGTATTAATGTATGATGTTTCTATCGGTACAGCGCCATCTTGTTACTTGCTGTTGAAACTTTTTGCAGTTCGTCTTGCTATCGATGGCTGTGACAATGCTAGTCTTCTCGCTATCGATTGTTGTGACGATGTTAGTGCGATGAGTTAGATGTCGCTATGTATCAGTCGCCACATTAATATAAAAATATTATTGAGACTTGATGTAGTTCTATTATTGTAAGTTCAACAAACAAAAGCAATAAAACTAACTTACCTAGTTCTTATTGTTTTCAGAACTTTGTTAAATATTATAATGAAAAATTTCTAGACCTACTATGGCATAAGTATTTTATTTATAAAAACTATTTGGCGGTAATATTATTGTATACCGTAGCTAAATGCCAGTTTTAATAATATCAATTCAATTGATATCCATAAATTAAAAAAAAAACCTCTCTGCTCACTTCCATTATGTTAATTTCCTCTATACAAATAAAAAAGAAATTTATTCAAAGATTACTTTGTATTAATCAAGTTGCGTTAGCATAACTCGAATTAATTAAATTTCAACTCGATATTAATCCGAGTTATCAGATCCATAACAACACTGACAATTCTATTCTCGTTGGTATAACGTCATGAATTGACGTTTGGATCCAACAATTAGTGCTGCCATCTAGTTACATAATTTTTTGTAGTTTCTTTATTTTTTTTAATACTTCCACATTCGAACGTAAGTCTATATGGGGACGAAAAATGTATTAACTCTGAAGTTTTACTTGCAGTCATTGTAATAACTTCTTCAGATGCTGCATCAACTTTTTTTCTTGTTGGTTGTCTTTTTCTGGTTTCTGTTGTATGCTGCGATACGCTTAATTCCATCGCCTTTTATTTAAATAGTTAAAAAAAAAATTGAGCCAAATTTGCCGCCCGAGGCTCTAGCCTAGTTAGCCTGCTGATAAATCCGCCACTTTAAGCTTGGTGGCATAGCAGTCTGCCATAGTTATTGATTAGTAATTTTCGCAAAGGTCGAAATTTCGCCGAATTTAGCCGTTGCACATTCAGTAGTTAAAACCCTTTAATCCGCGGGGTCCAGTTTGGAGGTTCATGGCCCATGCTCCTTAATCATTCATAAGGAAAGCCTGAGCCTCTGCAGTGTGGACGAAAAAGAGCTGATGATGATGATGATATCAATATCTCACTCTCAATATGAGATAAGAGATATTTGGTGTAGTCAAAGCGTTTTTTGAGATTGTTATGCTATGCTTGCTGGACTGGCTTACTGGATTGTTTCAGGTATAGCCAAGAGATTTCTCGACCATTCATTACACCATATTAACTGCACAATCGATATAATCCTGAAGTGACTGTTAATCATAGATTTAATAAGTCCCGCGTCAGTGACATCACTAGTCTCCAAACATGGCAGGCCGTAGTGGTTTTGATGATGGTAATCCCAGGTATTTATTTTAAATATTATCGTAGACAGTGTTCATTTGATATTTTATAACATGTACAGTGATATAAAGATGAGACATAAGTAAGCTTTAAAATTAAACGGCTGATATACGTTCAGTTTCGTTGTTTTTGAAATGCGATAACATTAAGTAAAAGTGTAATTTCTTGATATTAAGTTGAAATTCTATGACTTTCCTAATTATTTAGTTACGATTCAGTAAACATTGAAGGCAATATCTCGTGAGAGGAGTTTTTGTGCATATTTTTAGGTTATAAAATTTCATGGTTATGGTTATGCTTGCAGGGACTTTGGAGGTGGCGGAAGGCGGACACTCGGCGGCCGCCCGCTTCCTTCAGAGCCTCCGTACAAAGCTTACGTGGGAAATTTACCCTCTGGCATCATACAAGGCGATATCAACAGAATTTTTCCTGTTAGTGAAAGTATACCCATAAATAATTTTTTATTTCGTGTTATTATTTATTTCGTAGTATTCATTTGATTGTGATGTTTAGTTTGTCGTTTATATTGCTTTTATTCTTGTTTCTCGAAGTTTACTTAGCCTTATCTAATATATATATATTTATAAAAGTATTGAACAATTAATAGTTAAAATCTCTTTTGTCTTGTTTCGTATAAGACGCATTATCCACCCTATTAATTTTACAGGACTTATCAATAAAAAGTGTGAGATTGGTAATGGATAAAGAAACAGATAAGTTCAAAGGCTTCTGTTATGTGGAATTTGAATATCTTGAGCATCTTATCAAAGCTATTGAAATGAACGGCGCTCTGAATGTAGATGGTAATTTCATAAAAATTGATGTTGCTGAAGAAAAAAGGAGTGATAGGTGAGTAATTTATTTCTTGATTTAATTATTAGGCACTGTTATATTGTTTTTATATTTGTTAAGTATTTTCTTATGTTTTCAATCAATATTTTTATAAGCTTCCATAATTATTCAACTGCTTCATAGTATAACAGACAAGAACAGTAGTATGATATTGAGATTTATTACAATTTGATTTAGTTATTTTGTATAATATTAGGAGAACAACACATCCAAGTTGATAATTGTTGTTTGGTTGAAGTGCTACTCATTGGTACCTATCATAACTATTTGTTTTGCTAATCTGTAAACTTCAGGAAATATGGTTGTTAAATTATATGCATGTAAATTTTGAATACTAGCCAATTGAAACTATCATAATACTTTTGATTAAAGAACAAGTAATATTACTTTTATTTATATTCCATTTCCAGAAGTAATATTCAAATTTTTCTTCAAAAGACAATTAAAATATATTCATATTTAATTTATCATTAGCACAGAGCAGAAAGAACAGCTCACATGCTCATAGTTATAATTTTCCACAATTTGTTGTAAATATATCACTGAATAATGTAAAAAATTTAATTAATTAATTTAAGACTTAATCACTAGTGCTTAGAAAAGTAATCAAAACAAAATGAGCAAAAAAAAATTTAAACGTCATTATACCATAGCCAAATTAAACAGTCCCTTTACACGAATGCACGAACATTGCTCTTTTGATGACTTTTTAATTTAATCAGGTTGCGGTAAGCTCTAAAACCTCTCCAAATCGTAACATATACATGACATGTGTGCATCAGAGTTTTAACCTGTTGTGTTTGTATGGCAAATAAGGTGTAAGAAGTGCAGCTTAAGGCCGTGGCGGCGCATTCTTATGAAAATGTTCTGCTACTAGAATGTTATAGTAGTTTTGTTTTTTTTTGTTACATGGCACTTTTACTTGATTTGGTTAATCATGATCATGATTTGCGAGTCTCTGTGAATACTTGTATCGAGCTAATGTATCATACATTATTTAGGTTAGATTTAGTTGGGTTTTATGGGTAGGGCATGCAGTGCTTATTTGCATGTATGGTGTGCACACCATTGAGTCGATAATAAATGAGAGTAGTCCTGTAAAAAAAAAAATTTTGTGAAATATTCCTTTTTTGGAGCCATGTAATTTTTTAAGGGAATGAAGCCAAAAATTATTACAGTTTCCATTAATGAATCTTAAAAAGAATAAATAAGACTTCATATTAGAGTTGTCTGTTTATTTTTAAAAACTTAGTTGGGTAGAAAGAATATCACATTATTGCTTAAGGCACTCCAATTATGCTCCCAAATGAATATGCATTAAGAGTAAAGACACATTTATTTTGTGATTTTCTATTGATCCAATAATTGAAATTTATGTTTCTTATGTTCTTCAATATGTTTAATTTTCATAAAACGAAATATTGAATATGTAATAAATAAAAATAACAATAAATTTTATTCTCTGACTTTCTACATTACATTATAGTTACTTAGTTTTTTCGCCAACATCAGCACCTGTACTGCCAGGTTATCTTTTGACAAAGGCCTCTTTTAGTTTAGCCCATTCCTCTCTATCCCTGGCTGCTCTTCCCCATCCCTTCAGTAGCTTATTTTCCCATCTTGAGGGTATCATACCTCCATAAACCTCCATTACACCTCCATTTTAAGGTTTATTACTTTATGGATTACATCTACCACACCTGTCCTCCTCCTTTTATCCTGAGGACGTAGCCTATCTCTATGTTTCACACCTAGGATACTTCTTTCAATTCCTTGTTGATATACTTTTAGTTTTAACACTGTGTAATTTGAATATGACCATGTTTGACATCTGTAGCTTAGCACTGGAAGTATACAGGTATCAAAACCTTTTTTTTAGGGATACAGATATCGAATTACATTTCATAACTCTTTTAAGAGACCAGTATCTTGACCGTGTATTGCAAACTCTTCTCTGTATTACCCTTTGCATTTGTAAGTTTGGTGTTATTACCTGTCCCAGGTAAACATATCCCTACACATATTCAACTTCTTGCATTCCCACTATCAGCTTTATTTTAGAGTTATTAGTCATTGCCTTAGTATTGTTCAGGTTTATGGTCAGTCCAGCTTTTGTACTTTCTGTTTTCAGTTGTATCAAAATACTTTGAAGGGTAGTCAGGTCTTCAGCAAAAACGACAAGGTCGTCAGTAAACCGTAGATGGTGCAGTTTGCTACTGTTTATGTTTAATCCCATCTCATTCCAGTCTAGGTTACTAAATATTTTCTCTAGAACAGCAGAGAAAAGTTTTGGGGACAGAGGATCACCTTATTTTTCACCTTTTTGAACTTTAAACTCGGCGCCAACTCTTTCTAGCCACACTTTGATGGTATATCTGGTATATGATTCTTATGTATTTGTTATGAATAGCCTGTTTATATAGTGTTTTATAGATAAAGTAATGTAGCAGGGAATCCAAGCTTTGCTATAGTTGACAAAAGCAATGTAGTATGATTTTCCGTATTCTGTATATTTCTCCATAAATTGTTTCACTACATGTACTCTGATGTGTTTAATGGTGGAATAATCACTACAAAAACCAGTTAGTTCTTTGGATTGTTGTTCGTCTAGAACCTTTGCTAATCTTCCAAGTAGTATCTTCGAAAAAACTTTATACATGTTAGATATTAAACTTAGATCTATAATAGGAACGGCAATTGGGTAAAACATAAAAAATCTATTTAGTTCAGATAATAGAAAAATATTAGATACGTATTTTTTTTCCTTTAATTTAAAAAGAAATGGTTTTGATAATAGGCATTAAAGTTGAGGAGTGGGGCCTCGCTACTTCACGGTTTTGTACAAAATGTACTAAAGTGTGACGTCATGCGAGATTTCGACTCAATGTATCGCCGTAATACATTGATTATGCAAAACACGAAAAAATACGTTTTTGATATTTTTTAATAATCTACCTTACGTACAAACAAACAAAAATTTGTCATCATCTCTCTTGTTTATGTTATCTTTATCCCCCTTTTTATGTATAAAAACAATTGTTGATTCTGTCCATTGTTTAGGTATTTTTTCATTGTGTAAAGTTTCATTAAAAATGTCTGTTAATGTTTGCTCTATAGTATCAAAAGTCTCCTTTAGAAACTCATCTGTTATTTTATCGTCTCCTGGTGGTTTGTTGTTTTTTGTGATATGACAGCTTTTTTGACTTCACTTAGGAGTATGTCTGGGATGCTTTCATCGTTTTGTTGGTATGCTTCTGTTACTTTATAATCTGCTAAGGTGGTGTTACAGTACAGATTCCTAAAAAACTGTGTCGCTAGTGTGTTTATTTGTTGTTTCTTCACATGTATTGTTTTATTTCCTTGGAGATTTTTAGTTTTTATATTTGGTATCCAGGTTTTGTGGTCCTTTAGTTGTTTCCAAGCCTTTGTATACCTCCTATTTACTCCTATCTCATGTGTAATGTTATTAATTATTCTTTCTTTGTTGTATTTCCTGATTTGTTCTGTAATTTTTTTGCTGATAGATTTTATACTTTTGATGTTGTTTCTCCTATCCTGCAATAGCTTCCACCTTTCTTCTATGAGTTTTCTTTCTTCCTCTCCTATTCAGTCTTTCTTTGTGTTGTTGGTTACTTTTTTATATATGTTTAGTAAGTACTGTTCCATTTTGTCGTACTTTTGCTGACTTGTGCTTTTTAATTTCATATTTGTTTTATTATTAAAGTTTCTTGATTTTTTGTGTTATACGTTTTATGGTTCCTCTTAACATTCTGTTGTTAACCTGAAGTTTAACTTGTTGATTACTTCAATGTTCAGGAACTGATAGGGTATATTCGTGATTATAAAATCTATGACATTTCTATGATATCCATAGTCTAGATGTCTTTTTCTTGAACCTACTATTCATAAATTTTAGGTTATACTCCATTGCGAAGTTAACTAGTCTTTTACCGTTTTTGTTTCCTTTACCTTTGCAAAATTTTCCAATAATATGATTTTCGTCTATCTGTGGTACTATAAGTGGTAATTTCATATAACATCGTCTTAACGCTTTATAAGGCTAAAAAATAAGTTGCGCTTATATTTTTGGCATGTTTATATTTTATTTAACAAAAATAAACTTTAAAAATAACACTAATTATTTCGGAATATTTGGAAAAATAGGATTTTAAAATATTCCCACTACCCATCAACAGACCCACGTGCAAGCTAAATTTGTGACATTATTTTCTGTGAAATTGTGCAAAACAAGGCGTAATGCAAAGAGGGACATTACACTTACTGCATTTTATTTTGCTACGCTTATCTTTGACCTTTGTGCTGTACAATTTACAGCGTTGGTAAGTCTCAAACTCTGCCGGCATATGTATTACCCTTCGTTCATAAACCGCAGTTCTTCAGGTACAGCATTTACACTTTTTTGATATACTTTTGGGCATGCTATGCGTGATTTCTTGAAGATGTGTGTAGGCAAGCTTGATCTTCTTTTTCTACTGCTATAGCCACCAATCAAACCTCTGGCAACAGCCACCCGAAATTCTAAGTTGGTAAGCTTTTCTACTCTCGATGTAAGGGAATATAAAATGAAAGAGTTTGTCAAACTTGCGTCCACCAAGAAGTAGAATATTCGCAACCACCAGCGTTTACTTCTCCTTCCGACGGCATATGTCCCCTTCACTTGGTTGGAACGGTCGACACCGCCCATTATTTTGGTGTATTCTTTCAACAACCCTACAACAACCCTAGGACAATGTACAGCCTCCCTGGTGCCAATTTTTTACGATACTTTGGGAAGAGGAATTAGAGGCATTGTTTTGAAATGATTGACTAAATAAAGATATAAGAGGACGACTTTTATACTGGGAGGAACAAAATGACCGACACAGCCGAAAGTTTCAAGTTAGGTTACATGCAAACGTTCATTTTATTTGACAAATATTTAAAAATAGAGGAAGTGTAAAAATGGAGTAAAAATTTTAAATTTCTAAGTGTTGACA